TTTAATTGAACGAATGAAATGTTTGAGTAAATAAATACATAGACAAATTATTACTATCTTCTAAAATCTCTACTAACATCTGCTCATATATTTTCATTTTCAAATGTTATCAGGTGGCAGCTGCTTGTTTGGAAACTTGGAACGGACTATCGGTTCTATGGTAAGAACCGCACGCACCACATCCATTTTGTACGTCTCATTGGAGTTGAGCTTGTAGATATTATCTTTGTTACATTCTCACTTTTTGATAGATATTTTTCAATATGACAGACGGTTTAGATGGTTTGACTAAAATTCTACAACCAATGTACAATATTTATTGTTTTTAATAAAAGTTGATTATCTGTCTTTTGGATGTTCTTCAATTCCAACTTAGAGTTCGAATTGATGCCGAAAGTTTATTATTTCATCTTGCCCCAGTCATTTGATCGCATTGCAGTGGCATATATCATTGACATGTTACATTTCGAGTTCACCAATGTCTTTTTTGACAAGAACATGGTATATACGTGTTCTAGAAGTTTGTTATCACGACTCATACTATGTATACGTAAATAGGTTTGGAGGGAGAAGTTAATTTTTGAACTGGTTCCCACCCCGGAGGAGTTATGCTTGGAAAGCCCGTTTCGCACTCTCTATCCCCTATTTTTTGAGATCCCCATCAATCTTTAGTATTCGTGTTCGCTGAACTCCATCCAGACGAAGTGGGTCTCCCTCCACATGAGGGGATGGACACCGTTATGAACACCGCATTATGTGCACGTAGCATCACTCTGCCTTAAACTATTTTTAAAGCATTAAAGAGTGAGATTCAATATGATCAGCGCCATGATACTTTGGAAGTTCGAACATGTTAGTGACATTTATTCACAAGATAAAATTTATCTCCATAACAAGAGGAGATTATCCATGTAAACATCTTCCATAACTTCCGAGCATTCCAACTATTTTCTATTTTCTAAATAATAATATTTGCGATTGGATCATAAACAAAAGAGAAAAAAAGTGACTTAAGGAGAAAGATATACCTATATGTGAACATTCGATAGAGATAGACCGTAAGGGTGGATTGGACATCAAGTAGTTGAGTCTCGATCTCGTAAGAATTGGAGTAAATTGATTCCTGTTGGATATTAGGAAACTGGAACGATTGGTTCCATTGGAAAAATGAAAACGATTGGATATTAGTAATAAAATAAAAATTTTAAGAAGATTAGTCATGTTGTGCAATTATAAAATATAAAATATTTGGTCTTTTCAAAATCACAAAAAAAGTCTAATTGGAATGCATTAGTATTAGTCCCAACTAACCACTACTTTGTGTTCAATTTTTCGTAGGATTGGAAAACGTTTTAAGCACTTTCACTTTGTTTTCCATTCTTTGACCTAAACTCACCGCGTACCATATTTCTAGTAGTCACATTTTTTTATCTCTTCTTTTCTCCATTCAAATTCTTGATGCAGGCAAGTAAATGCACGTGCTCGAGTGTTTTTGTGAACACAAGTATCTCTTGCATAAAATTAAGGGAGAATTGCAATCGAGGTTTCAAACATTTCACATTTATGCAGATTTTGTCTAAACCTTTCATTTGTACCACCTACGGTACCAAACTTTTAAAAAAATCGCAGCCCAAGTCCAAAATAACGGTTTCCATTAGATTGATCCCAAAAATCGTCAGTTGAATCAAAAATTAAAAATCTAATAATTTTCTCCAAATAAGGTAATGACATTTTGGACCTAATACATTTCCTCTATTAAATCAAAAATTAAAAAAACGAAAAGCAAAACCCCACCCCAGTGACCCCACCCCCATCTCCTTCTTCCCCAAGTTGCAGAACCAGACAACCTCATTCTCAATACTGCTTTACACACACAACAAAATGGTAGTGGGGGGAGCCGACAATTCTTCAATTTATCGGCTAAAGAGCCACCGGAAGTATACTCCAACAATACATTATACAATTTTTCATCGTTTTCATCAGTAAAATTTTCCCCAAAATTTTCATGAACACCAAATCCTTTGGAACATGTTGTAAATCAACTCTAGCTTTATCGATTCCGACACCCAAACTGAAACCACCACCAACACCAAAACCCAC